TATCTAATAGATGCATACTAAAATAAGCTACTATTAAGAATAGCATTTTTAGATCACTTTCCATGAGTTAATTGACCGTTATTCTATATAAGAGATTTTTAAATTTTCTGCACCGTAACGTACGTATCTTTTATGTACCTCCACGGTTAAAAATTCAGAACCATTTAAGTAGTCACTTTTAAAGATAATAGATTTCTCTAATGCATTCTTCTAGAGGACGTTTTAAGGCCAGGTACGAGTTAGGGTTACTTTTTTTGATGCATTAGGGCAAGTGGTTTATATGAATATTTTGAATACAATTGGTGCAGTACCAATATACGAATGTACTTGGCTTTAATGAACCCCTTTTTCTTGACAAAAACTCTAAATCATTATTGTTTATTGTGTAATGATACACCCATATAAGAAAGCATTTAAACAAAATCAACAATTTGAAATCATTTCGAAAGTAATTCATAACGAAAAATGGCAAAAGGAAAAAAAATAAGAACATGTTTTTTGTCACTATTGATTATACAATATCATATTATTACATTTCTTTGCCCGGCTCTTGGTAAATGACAGATCCTGATAGTTAAAATTTTACAATATAAGTAAAAATTGTCATGTTTATCTTTTATTTAAATAATATAGCACTGTCGAAAGTCATTTTGTCTAAGCAAACTCATGGAGAAATTACGTATGCGAGTGCTGAATATTTGTAAGAACAACCCGATTTTTCTGCCAATTATTAATAAATTTCCTTTAATAAAATTATTAGTATTTATTTTTATTTTATTTTTATTTTTTTTTATCAATGATGGATATAATGTTTTTAGTTATATAGGAATTATGTGTTCAACAGCCGGTAAAGAGATTGTCATTATTATATATGAATTTAGAGTAAATGATATAATGATATTAATATTTCAAAAATACTTTTTATTTTAGCATTAAATCTTCTTGCAATATGCTGTTATTGTTTTTCTAATATCGAATATTTTAGGTATTATATCTACTTTGAATGAATTCTTTAATCGAGTTCTTTATTATTATTACTATTATTATGAAAGGTATTATTATTACTAATTTCTACTATTAACATTTCGGAATTCATCTAGAATTTTTACATGTGCGTCGATGAGCTGGATTCTTCTACCAAGTAAGTTTTTAAAATTTTAAAATCACTAATTACTAACCTCTGACTTTATTATTTAACTTTTTTTCCTTTTATCCTAGTTATTTACACTGGCACAACAATATATGAGTTTTATCCGATCCCATTTAATTGTCAGTACGACTTTAAATATCCAATAAGTAAAACAGCTTGTAGGATTCGAGCAGCAAATTTTGTTTTTGTGTGGTTATATTTAGTTTATGGAATAGCTAATTTCATCGTTATTATTTCTACTACGACTAAACAAGACCGTAATGAAAATGGCCAAAATGTGTAAAACTAATGTATCATTTAGAAATAATGGAAACAAAATTAATGTTACTGTATATAAATCTATTCTTTAAATGCTTCCTAATAAAAAGTTTCGCATCCACCGACTTGAGAGCATGCTCACGTTATAATTAGAGCATTTGTGTTATATTTTTAGCATTTATACAAAAATTTTGTGTTTACACTTTATATTTAACGTATACATAGTTACATGAATTAAGACCCTCAAGAATATATAATAACGCCTAATAATACTAAGGTAACATTAACATGGCTGTAGCCAGTGTTGTGCACGGACGTTGTCCCATTAAAATTGCAGGGACACTGACAATGCCCCATGTTCCAGACGATGTCCCATATTCGTGATAGCATTCCATTGGGGTGTATCTTATCGGTCAAACATAGTGCAGGTGATATCGATAGAGTGATAATCACTAATAAAGATTTTTTTAACCCTTGTTACTCCTTGTTAATATTAGATTTATATATCAGAAACGGACGTGGGTGGATAAGTTTTTATCGGATTTGACGGGTTATTGGGTTTGACAGGATAAGTTTGGGAGGTCCAACAGTACTCGATTACCTTAGCATATTGATTGAAGATCGATGCCTGATGTTACATACTATGTAATTGTTTACTAAAAATAATTACATCGTATATACGTTAAAGTCGGCATCGATCTTCAATCAATGTGATAAAGTAATCGAAGTTGCGGTATTCACCAAAAAAAAAAAAACTTTATTTACCATTTTAAAAACCGCGATAAATTAAGGTCAAATTCTTCCAATCGGCCGAATTGATCATTTTATTCATATATACTCTTTATTAATAATATCCACGCGTCCTAGAAAACAGCCAAGGCCACGCAAGGTATATTCTAAATCGTGCCAATTATTCAATTTTTGCTGTTTACTTTTCTGTCATTTTGTCCGGTATCATCCGGTGGAGACTTACCATAATTATCCGATAAGAAAACGACTGCGAACCCAGGTTCTGATTCCTTGTTACGCAAAAAGAAAGATTAACTTTGCGATCCTTAAATGTAAACATGATTCTATTAATTTAAAGTAATTTAAAAAACCCCCGACCGACCCAATTTTCAGATTCATGTAATGCAAAACGAAAAATTAACTTTGCGTGTCCTAACAAAAAAAGCTCCTACAATTACTTAATACTTCTTTTCTCTTTTTTTAGATATCTATGACTTATAGAGGCTTTCTATTCCATTAACAATGTCAAATAATCATATTCATCAGTTAACATTAACCTATAACATATATATTGAATTATTATTATCAAGGATCTATAATTTTGGCGTGTTCTATTTACCTAATTTGTGTGGGTCGATTAAAGCAAGGTGCGTTTGGTATAAACTTGGAAATGATCTACTGCTGCATAAATTATCTTCTTGATATTTACATAAACTACAAACCATTACTGCATCAAAAATATAACCTTAACTGCATCAAATATAAATAATTTAATTTGTGATTGATCACAGGAGAGAAGGAATCACTCTGGATCGGGCACTGTCTCTGCTGTTGTCGAGATGATATCGTTCAAAGTAAAAGAATTTATACTATTATTAAAACAAAGTCCACAGTTAAGTTTTTCCAAACTTTGATCGATAATACCACGATAACTGCCCATTATTTCCCAAAAATTCAAAAAGTTAAATACGGCCGGAAATTAGTAAACAATTACGTAATGCGGGTATACATGTGTGCCTAAATTCGGGACGATTTACAGAATTACGGCATTTTTTATATTTTCGGCAGCATCTTCAAAATGCTTCCAGCTATTTTCATTATTCCTGGAACACCTGATAAAAATTGACCGAATGATGCTTCAACCGATTCGTTTAAATTTGTGAATTCGGCATAATAGATTCAATAAGTATATAATATTTATCAACACATGTCAATATTTGTGTTATCCGGCAATTCATGATCATGATTCTCAAGTCGTGATTTGCTAACTGAGTTTTAATTCGAATAAACATGATAACGACATAACACATCAAAAAATAACAAAAAGAATAATATAAAAAGACAAATAATACTTTGTTTTACAAATAAATTTAACATTGTAAATGTCGACATGTCAATATTATTAAATTTTCATTTGAATACTTGCCCAACACGTTTTGTGTTTAGTTTGTGCGAAAACATATATATGTTATACGTCAGTTCGTGAATTACGTCGGTCTTAGATTAACATATGTTATTTTAAGATTTATACCGATCGGAATATGACGTATGTCAAATAAATCGTACGTACGTAGATGATATGAGTGCTGTCAAGGGAAAACCTGTCATCGGGCTTTTAATTTTACCTTGTACCAGGCACAATCAATAATAAATCAAATAGATTGAATCCGATACAAAATATAATTGAATGCCCGATGACAGGTTTTCCCTTGACAGCACTCATATAAGCAGAAAAGAAAGTAAAAACTGAGATGCTAATATAATAAACTTGCATAAACTACTAGAATAAAAAATATATATATATAAATAATTTTATTTCATTATCTTTATTTCAACATGACTTCAAATAATTCACGAGTTTATCTGTTTATTTCGCCTCAAGTCTTCGAAAAAATAGTTAACGACTATATGAGTAATCGTAAAAATGAACGCGTATAATGAATCGCTCAAAGTATAATTGTTGCTTGACTCTCTTACGAAATCTTTCAAGTACCATGAAATTCCAAAGTTTAAATTTTGGGTTCTTCATACGTTTACGGTAGTAAATGTTGGGATGATTGAGTAATTAAATTTTAAAACGGAAATTGCCCTATTGAAGACTTTTATGTTGGGATCTGTCAAGCTCATCAGGATACAGAGCACGGTGGCCAGGAAAAAACGTGGCTGAATACTACGATACAGAGCACGGTAGTCAGTAAAAACGTGGTTGAATACTACAGTACTGTTTTATTCCTCAAACGATTGTTGAAAATGCAGTGAAATAATACAATATATGTATTACACGATGTGCAAACAAACGGGCACCCGCGATAAGGCCTATAATTGCAGAATGGTTTTTTGCTCATTTCAAGTAAGAATTTATATAGTTGTATATATAATTTGTTTAAAGCTTTTAATTATAAATATTATCGTTATATATTTTAAAGGTGGATTTGATAAGTATGACTGCGGCTCCAGACGGCGAATTTAATTATATTATCCGTATTTGCGATCATTTTACAAGGTTCTCCGCTGTGTTGCGGGTGTATGCAACAATCATTAACATTAATATGAACTTAGAATTACCGGTGGTTTATTGTTACCATAAATTATTGTAACTTGAGTTTGCTTAATTTTACTGGAATTCGTTTAATCTCATTGTAAAATATTAAAAAAATGATTATCAACCTGTAGTGCTGGAATAAATATTCCAAATAAAAAAAATATCGTGCATCATGCTGCTTATTTTTTACATTTTTTTTTTTTTTGTACTGTATTTGGGTATTATAATCGCTGATGACATACCGATCATTATTTAACATACGTCAAATTATGATTCCAAAGTGACTTACGCCAATTCGAGATTAACAGGAATTCCAAAGTGATGTATAACACCTGCCAGATAAAATCTTTTACTGTATCAAATAGTTGTAATAATTCAGAATATTGGCTCGAAACAATAATATCAGCCAGATTTATAAATAAATATGAATATAATAATTTTACAAAGTAAGAATTGATGAAGGAGGCTTTGGAACGGTCTCTAAATATGAATCGAAAGATTTTGGTTAACGGTTACCTTAAATGCCTTAAAGTTGATATAAATTTAAGCAACGAAGTCGTTAAAGAATTTGTTAATGAGATATTATTTATTAATAAATGGGAACATTTTATAAATATAATAAATTTTCATATTTATTGGTACAAAAGTTAGTAGACATCCAAATATTATTGCTTTTTATGGAATTACAAAAGGTATGAATTTTTTAGCTTGATAATAAGCTATATTAAATATTTTGATTTAAATTAAAACTAGATCTCGATAGGAATTATAACATGGTTTTACAATTTGCTAGTGACGGAAATCTGCGAAAATATCTAAAAAAAAATTTTATGAAATTGCAATGGACAAATAAGTTAACTATTGCCAATAAATAATGCAAAGTCTTTGGTTTTTCATAGTCATGATATTATTCACGGGAACATTGTAAGTATATATTGCATCTGATGTTTAAGATCAAGATACTGAAATTGTTTTGGTTTAAGATATTGAAATTGTTTTAGTTTAAGATCAAAATGCTGAAATTATTTTGGTTTATCGCGTTTTTCAAATTACTGTGTCCGCTGATTTTCATACATCACACTGGGAATCGGAAATCTAGAAAAAATGCCATTATGTGATTAGCTAAAAATTATATTTAACCAATCACAGATTTGCATTTATTCTAGATTTCTGATTTCCAGTGTGATGTATGAAAATCAGTGGACACAGTAATTTGAAAAGCGCGATAAAATCGAGATACTGAAATTGGCTTAAATTGTACTATTTGATAACATTCAAAAAATATTTTAATTCAACAAGGGAGATTGCAGATTTCGGATTAGCGAAGCAGATAGATGAGACATCAAAATTCAAGTATTCACGGGATGCCTGCATATTTAGATTCTTCATATCTAGGTGGCTCTAAACATAAGCGCACTAAGAAATCTGATATTTGATATTTACATTTCAATCCTTTACTTCAAGAGATGCATTCACTATTCATATATCTGTTGGAAATAGTGAAGAACCTTTAAAAGGCATGTCATCACAATATGTTGACCTTTAAACAAAATGCTGGGATAATGATGATCTGATCCCATCATCAAATCAGCAAGGTTACCAGAAATTTTGTCATCAAATCATCAAGATCATCCAGGAATACATTCAGATTTATTTGAAATTGCATCAACGTCGCTTCATTTACCTGATACAATTGATGATCAGAATTCTTCAAAACGAGATCATTCACTTTATTTACCTGATAAAATTAATCTCGATATTGTTGATGTTGTTGACCAAAATCTATCCAACCAATAAACACAACTTGATACAATTAACATCAATGATCAAAATGCTTCAACACAAAATGATGAATCAATTTTCTCAGATGATACAATTAACGTTGACATCGAAATCATTCAACGCATAATAATGATGATGATGATGCCCTCGAAAATAACAGAAAAAAAGTATATAAATACATTAATGGAGGAAGTTACTCAAAAGCATTAGAGCTTCATGAAGAAATTCTCACGAACAAACAACATAATGCTAAAGATCAGCTCGCCACCTCCAATTAACGCCTTTATAATAAATATCTTAATAATTCCAAAGAAATGAATGAATTAATAACGATTGTTTGCAAAATACATTATTGATCTCTTTAGATCTAAAATAAAGTCATTTTGGTTCAGCGGAAGTAAAGCATTAGCAGAAGCACTTTACAAAAATACCACCTTGAAATCTCTAATTTTTCACGAGTAGTTTCGATTCTGAATTAGCAAAAACATTTTGTAAGAACTCTATATTAACTACTTTAAATCTTGCTAATTGCAAAATTGGAGCAGAAGGAGTAATAGCATTTGCAGAGACACTTTTTAAGAACACTGCCTTAATATATTTGGACCTTTCATTTAATGAAATTGGACAAGAAGGAGGAAAAGAATTAGCAGAAGCACTCTGTGAAAATATCTCACTTGAATCTATCTGGTTATAATTTTAATTTTGTTTCCCAAAGAGCAAAAGCATTTGCAGAAGTTATTTACAAAAACACCACATTGATTTTTTTGAATCTTCAAAATGATCAAATTGACTTTGAAATAAAACAATTAGAAAAAGCTCTTACTAGAAACATTAAGTCTTTATTAACACCAAAATTTTTAACTATTTAAAATTATAATAAATTTATGAATAAGATTTAATAAAATTATAATAAATTTATGAATAAGATTTAATAAAATATAATTTTATATATTATAAGAAGATTTTTTATTGAAGTTTTCATCCAATTTTCCTTTCTACATACACTTAAATAAGTTTGGGACGTGGTACACATTAATTGCGAAAGTACTTTCCACGTAAAATTCTTAATTTTTATTTATTGTTAATGCAAATCCTTAATTGTCTGTAATAATTCTTTTATTAACCTTAAACATGAGTAAAAGATAGTAATACTTTTTTTAATTTTATAAAGATAAAAAGATTAGTCGTATTTTTATAGTTTAGAAAAAATTCAGTAAAACATTTGTCTAAATTTTATTTTTAATTTCACAGTTTTAATCAATTATATAATCTAAATTACCTTTCTTACATATTAGAACACTAAAACTTTGGCTTTTTACGATCTTTTTTATGGATTTGGGTTACTTTACTTTCACGGTTATTGCCTCTCCGAAGATAAAAATATAGAATAAATCTTTAGTAATAAAGGAAACTTTAATATAGTAAATACACTATAGTCTTTGTGACAATAACCATGGTCTTCTCTGTGGTGGTCCCCTGGTGAGAGTACCTGATATGATACATTAGTCATCGTAAATAAGTCAAGCGAGAAGACGTTAGCGAAATTCGAGTTAAACCCAAGAGTAAAAGTAAAGGAACTATTCAAAAATTACTCCGATTTAGATGGACAAAATATTTATATAATATTTATAAAAGTTCACATTAAATGTAGCCGGATGTATTTTTAATCCGATATCGCTTTTTTATTTTAAAACAAACATTGCATGTCTGCTTTAAAAAAAAATCAGGCATTCGAAATGTCGGTAGCATTATTTTTCTTATTATTATTGACTAATGATAATGCGTGTTTTGTTTTAATGTGATAAATGAAATTAATTTATCTGAGCGGAGAATCCGAATTTTACTAATTATGTATACTGGCTATCTTCCATGCGATTCGTGATCATGTTCGTGATCATGTTTTTTTGCGATTAACTAAATTTTGAGTGGAATTTACTATTTTTAACTGAATTTTGAGTGAGTTTACTGTGTATAAAACATTATACACAAGAGATATATCGCATGATAAAGTATTATTTATTAAAATTATCCTATTTATTTGATTATCTGTAGGATAAAATCTGTTTATCTGAACGGATAGGCGAAACCTACCTCAAATGCAGCATGTGCAGAAAATTCGAAATAGATTTTCTATCCAATTATGAAACATTCATAAAATAAAAACTACTCAAAATGGTTAAATTTAGTTTTGGAAAAGTAAATTAAATACTCCACCTTTGCACAACTTATATTTATGTATGACTTACAACTAATTAGACTTAGTGTTAGAAATTACACCAAAAAACATCGTGTTAGGGAAAACCGGTTTATTTTAATTATACCTTGGATCTAGTTTTGAATACATATATATTATTTTAATAGTGCTTGAATTATTTCATGAATACAACTCGAATGGTGACAAAACTGATGCATTTAAATCACTAAATTTCATGTTATGGTTTATATGTTTTCTCTGACCATGTGTTGTATTACCTTTATATGTGTAACGTTGTATTATATTTATGCGAGTAATTGTTATACTTCTTATTCGTATGGTAAATAAAATCTCATTAAAGTGAATAGAGCAACTTTTTTTTTATTTGAAATATGAACATGGACGAATTGCTGGTGCACGTTAAAAATAGTCATAAAAAACGAGATGGACGATGAAATAATAATCCTAAATGTTGGTGGCGTTAAGGTAGGTCAAAGCTCTTTTAAAATTATATTAAAAGTTTTAAATAAGAAATTAAATTAATTTTATTATAGTTCGAAACCACTCGTAATTCATTAATCGCTCATCCAGAAACAACATTAGGAAATTTATTTAATCCTAAAAATTCTGAAGCACTCAAACCAATTTATCCTGGTGGTAACGAGTATTTTATCGATCGAAATGGCCATGTTTTTTTATCATATTCTAGAATATTACCGTACTGGTGAAATCCTCTGGGATGATGAACTATCAAAGTCCAAAGAATTTCCTGTTTCAAAGCGAGCAATTGATTTGGAAATAGAGTATTTTAAGATTCCCATTAATTCTGAAAAACGTGCTGCTCGTAATTTACAGCAAGGTGTTACGATACTCGACAAATTTTGTGCAAAATTGATACCTTTTATTAATGAAGCAATAAACAGATTTGTTTCAGAAGTCAGTGTTTCTTATTGGGAAACTTGCGATGCTTGCTCTTGCGAGCCATTTTCGAACTATGAAAATGGTGATTGGTATAAAGAATTTATGAAACAAGGCTGTGGGCTATTGAAAAAGGAAAAGGTTGTTAATGCAATAGAAAAGCGATTGAAGAGCCATTTTCCTTCTATTAAAGTAAACAGTACAAGTAGTCTATATATGGGTTCTCATTATAATTTGGTAATTTCTGATTTCCTTGACATGGATTCAATATTGGAAAACTTTGAATAAAAATATTATTGACCAACCGGATACATTTATGTTTAGATTATAAATTCATTAAGTTATCCAGTTATCTCGTTCTATTTTCAAATTTCTTAATGTATCTTTTATCGTATTTTTTGTCCTATCTTTCATAAAGTTCAATAAATATATTTATATCTGCTAAAATCTTAATTAAATATGATTTAAGCAATATTATATAGTTATTGTATAGTAGTTATTGATAACTATACCTCTATATCATATTCTATCAAATTAAACTACGTGAGTATATAATTATATTTTTTTAATTAACTTTTTTTTCAGATTATTTTAAAGACCGAAAAAAAGATGATAAAACAGTGATAACGTAAACTATTCAAATATGAGAATTTTTAGTATAGTCATCAATAACATGGCTATACGATAAATACTTATATAATTCAACAATAAATTAATTAAAATATATCGAATCAATAAACAATCGTTGTATTCACTGCTATCCTAAATAGATTAAAACAAATAGTCATAACTTGGTTATATCTCCCTTTTTTTATCCAATTTTTTTTGAGATATAGCTAAAGTGGGATATAACTCGAAATATAAAACATAAAAAAAAAAGAAATTTATTCTGCTCAAATATGGGAATATAACTAAGGTAGGGATGTAACTAGGCCTTCGCATGGGTCTGGGCTACCAATGGATATCCGCGGTAGGCCCACAAGTGCCGGGATAGGGTATCGAATCCAAGCCCTAGGGTAAGGGTAAGGGCTCGAAACATTGAGCCCTTACACAAGCAAGTAGGGCTTGACCCGTTATTTATATTTTACGTAAATTTAAGTTTATATGATTAGCTAATTTACATCGATTCATACCTGATTCAAAATTCAAGAATTAATCAAGAACACACATGCGTGCGTACGTATGTGCGTAACTGTGAATGCAAATATTAAACGTTTATCATTTACTCGGATAATTTGATGCATGAGTGTGAAGAACATTTATTAATATAAGTATTCAAAATAAGTTATTCCCGAGAGTATATCTGCGAGTTAAAAAAAATAAATTATTTAAGTACAGAATTAGCATGTAAGATTTATTAATCTAAGGATTTAAATAAACCATCTAAAATATAAATTTTATTTTAGATCTAGTATAAACAACATTAAGCACGATAATTTACCCAAATGTATGAACATTGTGAAATACATTTGGAAATGAACAAGCAAAGTAAGTAAATTAAAGATCATGTGACTCAGCTTGTTTTTATTTGATATGTGCCCAAATTTGAGATTATTAACACGTAAAAGTATTGTTTTTTTTACATAAATACTCTAGTCTACCTAACAAAGTCGTTGAAAATACTAGCTAATTAATTATTGTTTGGGATGATGCTGAAATTGGCTGAAGCTGAAAATTTGGGGGTCTCAATTTAGATCCATAAAACCTACTAAAACTCATAAAGCTGACCCTAACCCTAAAAAAAAGTTAAAATAATGTACCCCTAAAATTTTTAAAATTTTCAGCTTCAGCCATCACAAGTATTATTCTATTAGTTGGGTGAGAGGGTGGAAGCATGATCTTTAATTTACTTACTTTGCTCGTCCATTTCAAAATGCATTTCGCAATGTTCATATATTTGGGTAAATGAACTTCGCTCTGTAAGTAAATTGCAGATCATGTGACTAGTGTGGAGCATTTCGACTACCACTAGTGCACCCACAAAATGTCACAAAAGATAAAATTTTTAAAATTCGTTTATGGGATCAAAAGATAATTTCTTATGCTCATTTTCAAGAAATATGCGATTTTGGACTATTTTTGACAAAGCGAATGTTTGTTTTGAATTTTTCTAATCGTGTAATGTTTAGAGATGGGCATTCTGCATTATGTGCATTACATTAAATATCGCATAATGTAATGTAGACATTTTAAAATTTACAAGTGCATATAGAAATTACTATATAATTTTAATGCAACAAAGAATAATATTTTATATAATAGGTAATATTAAGTGATATATAACATCAGTCAGTGATTTTTTATCTGTATAAAGTAGGCTAACCATATGAAGTTGAAAACTACCATAAAATAGTTAACTCCTGTCTAGAGATAAGAAAGATTGGATATGAATCTTGCTTCTTGAGTTTGGCAGAACACCAAGATTGCATAATGTTGCATACTGCATTATACTATATTATGTAATGCAAAGTCAAAAAATATGCATTTAAACTAGCTCTCAGGCCCGGGTGTTGCTCTGGGTGCGCAGTCTCAATTTTTTTAGTTGTTAATTCAAGTAAACCTAATTTGGGTTCACTTGGACACAGGTTAGGTTCACTTGAACCCCGTTTTGGGTTTGCTTGAACCTGGGATTGGGTTCAAGTGGACCCAATTTGGGTTCACTTGGATTTGTATTAGGTTCAAGTGAACCAGATTTGAACCTGGTAACCTAAATTAGGTTCAAATGAACCCGGGTTGGTTTATTTGAACCCGGGTTGGGTTTTCTTGAACCTGGATTGGGTTCAAGTGAACCCATTTTAGTTTCACTTGGACCTGAGTTGGGTTCAAGTGGACCCGATTTGGGTTTACCTGGACCTGTGTTAGGTTCAAGTGAACCTGAGTTGAACCTGATAACCCAAATTGGGTTCAAATGAACCCGAATTGGGTTCACTTGAACATGACTTGGATTCAAATGAACCTGAATTGGGTCTATTTGAACCTGACTTGACGGTTCCTCCTGTCATATAAGGGTTAATTGGATAATATATACGTATGCGTGTTGATTATTTTATATATAAATATTTATATAATGGAATCTAACCTAATATCGTTATATAGATATAACGAATATGCTATATAACGGAATTTTTTTGTTAGCCCAGATTTCCGTTATATCTATAGTTGACAGTATTATTTTTGATTTTTTTCTTTAAAACAAGAGATATTTATATTTAATTTTAAACTAATGTCATCAAATGATGAAAATATAAAACCTATTAATGTATTTGATCTATCATTTAATGAAAGTATTCTCATATTATTCAATAATGCATTTAAATTTATAAATATCTAATTACATTAATGTTAAAAATGATCCAGAATTTTAATATATGTAATTGTAATATTTTCTTTCTTATTTTTATATTTAGGAGCCATAAACTGAAGCAAAAAAAAACAATTTGTAAAAATATATGTTTAAGAAGATGCGCAAAAAAAACTATTTTTATAAACTGTAAGCAAATAGTAATATGCATTTAAAGAAGATTTATATTGATCAGGAATAGTTTAATATATTGAAGCATACACTCTCTATTGGAAGCATGGAATACAATTTGGGCAAGTACACTTTTATATTCTTTTTGTTTTTTATTTATATTACTAACATTAACAGCTCAATTGTTGGTGCAGAAAACTTGAGCTCTTCTTAATTATTGGAGTTGTGAAAGATTAGTTTTTATCATTTTGTTACTGCTTTTTATACATTTTTTCTTCTACTAACAATATATTCTATTTGCAGCCTTTTACTATCTTTTCTCCCACAATTTTTCTTATTAACAACTTTTGTTAGACTTCTTTAGAGTAAGCATTTCTTTATTTTATACATTTTTGTATTCACCACATTACTAAAAATATTTTTTCCTTTCTTTCCCTAATATAAAACTCTTGTTATTTCACTCCTGCCATTCTGAAACCTTGATGTTGTGATTATATTTCATTTCCAATTGGTCGTATATGTTGTCTTTTTATTGCTTGAGATTTTTGAGCCGATTATATATTTCACTACTTTGGTTCAATCACAATTATCTGCATTGATCAGATGCTGGAACACAATCATACTACTTTGGATAGTTTACTTTGCTTGTGACAAGCTTTACTAATTTAGTTTGGAAATAATATAATGTAAAAAAAAATAGCGATATTAATATTTTAAATAGTGATTTAGATAAACAAAAATCTGATAAATTTATTTGTTCGAATTATTATTCATAGCAGTTTTATGAGTAAAAAAATTATCACCTCAAACATTATATATCTTGTTCTTAATGAAAAG